CACACACACACACACACACTTACACAGATGCAAACACATACACCCGCTCACATATATAAACACGCATGCATTCGCATAGACACACATATACTCACACAAACGTGCGAACAAACACACACACACACACACACACACACACACATACACACACATACACGTACATACATAAAAACACATAGCAAGGTGCATACATATTTTAATGTATGCTCTTTCTTTCTCTTTCTCTCTCTCTCTCTCTCTCTGTCTCTCTTTCTCTCTCTCTTTCTTTCTCTCTCTCTTTCACCTTCTCTCTCTCCCTCCGTGATTGTATGTTTTTTAGGGGGTGGGGGTATGTATACGTATTTATGATGTGTGTGTGTGTGTGATTGTCTGTGTGTGTGTGTGTATGTGTGTGTGTGTGTGTGTTTGTATGTGTGCATGCGTTTCTTGCTACTCACTTTGTTCTGCCCATCCCTCTCCACTGGTGAGAGCAGTAAGAATCCTACCCGTGTCGTTCACACACTGAGAAGGAACTTGCTGATCCGAAGACCCCGCCAAAAATCCACTGTTCACAATACTTCTCACCGCCTCCGACACATCGTCCCGCAACAAATTCTCGAAATTGGTACCCTTTAGTCGATTCAGCTCCGGAATTTCTCTCAGTGTGTTCAAACTTCGCATCACGTGATCAACATCTTCTCGAAACGTCTGGTTTGTCTGAAGAGCTTCAAGCTGACGGATACGTTCTGGGACTTGCTGCCACATGTTGTAATACGTTGTTTTTTCTGGTTCAGAAGCTCCTGCTGGGATAATGCCATTGTTCTCCGCTCCTTGTGTTACAGAGATCAAACAGACGAATGTAAACCAACAAACGACATGGCGGACAACGTTGGTGTTCCAGCCCATTTTGATGAACTTTCGAGTAGCTAAATTCTTGAGGAACGTAACGTATGTATTCCAGACGTGCTTGAGAATGCGAGTAATTTTCTTCTGTATTGCAATCTGGGGACTGATAATGATTGAAAAGTTAGCAATAAGGCCCGGCAAAGACATCAGATGAGCTCTAAGCTTTCATGAAAAGTTTCAATTTTGTTTCATATTTTACTGTTTCCCTAGATAAGAAATAAAGCCCGTTCGCGGGTTAGAGGCTTAATTAACACAGTCTCACGTTGAGTCCTTGAGAAAGGCACTCAACATGAATTTTCCCTTTTGACTTGGCGCCATCGGTGTTGGACGTTAAGTTCAGATGTTCTGCTTGTTAAGTGACCTAATAGTGTTGCAAAAAGCGTGACATCTACACAGTTTCGTGAAACAAATTGAGACAAAAGCAATCCTTAGAAAGCACCATGTCGCCCACTCATCTAAGCCTGAAAAGATCAAATCGCGCCCACCTTAGATTGTCTTTGAGTTGTGAATAGTTCACATTACGTTTAAGTCTGTGTTCTAATTCGAGAAGACTAGATCTAGTATTTCAACAGAAGTTTGTGGTGTCGATGTAAGGCGCTTCATCGTCGCACTCTGGCGACGTAAGTTTGGTTCCAATGGCGGGGGAATTTTTATCGAGTATTTCCGTCTGTCTGCCGGGTTGTTTTATCTCTATCATGCCACATTGGCCATGACAGGCAAGGTCGAAGAACACCACATTCTTAATGGTTTAAATAGTGTTGATGAGGGCGTAGAAGTTCTACAATGAGTTTTAATCTCTCATAGCATTAAATGTCGCTTAATTACGGACCATGTCTGCATTAACCGGGAATTAGAACCAAGCAAAACACAAAAAAACCACTGCAAGTTAATGACTCACGCGTAAAATAAATTACATTTTTGACTGACTCACAGACTAATCGTCACTCTCACTTCGTCGATAACCTATACTATATGCTCAGAATATATTCTTTTTTAAACCAGTGAAAAGTTTGTTGAACAAAGCAGTCACAAAGGGGGGGGGGGTAGGTAAAAAAAAACATACAAAAACAAAACACACAATGAAAGAAACGCCTTTAAGCGACGGTAATCTTAACAAAGCGAAATTCATCTGTTCTCTCTCTCCCTGTCCCCTCCTCTCTCTCTCTCTCTCCTCTCTCTCTCTCTCTCTCTCTCTCTCTCTCTCTCTCTCTCTCTCTCTCTCTCTCTCTCTCTCTTCAACATTATTTAAAACGGTTGCAAATGAAGTGTTTTGCTCATAAGCTTACAAGTAGTGAAATGTAGGCCTACCCAGCTGCAATGCACACATACTGTTTATTGAGTGGCAGTCAAAGCAAACAAAGAGTTATGTTTTTCATGCAAACAAAATATGTATAAAAAACGTCAAAGAACTCAAAGTGTTTCAAATGAAGCTAATTTTAACAAAATCAGGCATGGTATGTTATCTAGAGCTTAACTTTGAGTGAACTCTATCTCATCTGTAGTGCACCCACTAGCTCAGTGGTAAACTGAGGCATTTTAGCGAAGTCGGCACATCAGAATTACAAAGTTCTATATTGTGACATTTTTGACTGTTTTGAGCTACTAAGACCATGAGATCAGAGACCATTATGCTCTATCTGCTCTATCAAAATTGGAAGATTTTTCAGAGTCGTTATCAAGATATTCAAAGAATTGCATTCGAAAAAGCTTGACATGTTGTGAAACGCAAAATAGTTGACGACAAATTTATCAAAACTAGGTACTGAGCACATATTACTATAAATGTGTAATGTTGACGTAGCGAAGTGCTATCGATTGATAATGAATAATTTATTAGAGCTCTAGTGTACAACAAACGTGTCACTTGCATGTGATCTATACGATACATCATACACGATAGTAAACCATGACTGTTACTTTATCTCTCTTTCCAAAACAGAAGCTCGCATGATCCTATCGATTCAACTTACTTCCGTAGGTGCAAAGTGGTACTACGTATGAAAAAGGAAATTCGAATCAATTTTTAAAAGTCTCTGTTTCTTTCGTTTAACGTATGTGTTTTACCCCCCCCCCCTCCCTTCCTCTTTCCCCAATCTCTGCACATTAAATTATTTGGGAGGCGGGCATCTACCCTGCTATCTGTCAGGGCCAAATGAGCTAAGAGTGATAGGGTCTACAACACTCCAACAGAAAAATCAAGTTACTCCTTAAGAGTTCTACCCACTCTGGAATCGAACTCGGGTGCCCGGTGTCCGACCTTTTAGTAGGAATGTATTTAGAACAAAGTTTATGTTCCTCAACTTCCAGCAACTAATATCGATGACATGAAAGGTCGAATAACAGCTAAAATCAAAACGGTTGACCCGGGGCATCCAGAGGCGCGTTGAGTAGGAATTCTCATATCGGCTTGATGTTGTCCGTGCTGCCGGTGGTGGTGTTAGATCTTACCTACCATAGAATCAGGGGTGCGGCTGACAGAAAGCAGTAAGAAGGAGCCAAAGAGTAGTAGTAGAAAGGCTGCAGTTTAGGAGGAATTCTCATATCGGCTTGATGTTGCCCGTGCTGTCGGTGGTGGTGTTAGATCTTACCTACCATAGAATTAGAATCAGGGGTGCGGCTGACAGACAGCAGTAAGAAGGAGCCAAAGAGTAGTAGTAGAAAGGCTGCAGTTTAGGAGGAATTCTCCTATCGGCTTGATGTTGCCCGTGCTGCCGGTGGGGGCCGCATTGAGCACTTGTAAAACATGAAATAAAAACGTGAAGATATGTACAACACATGTGTCTAAGCTAGAGTTTTTTAAAATAATTTTTCGTTTTTTAAACATTGCGGGATCATTTTGTCGTATTCTTTTTAAATCATCTTGATAATGAATAAGATCATATTACAATATTAGCATACAGAGCAGGACACCGTAACTTTAGATGACATAACCCCACCCCTCCCCCCTCCCCTCTCAACTTCAACTTCAAGCTCACAGGGTCAGTAAAAATAATGTGAATTATAATGTTATGCCTGTTGGCAAATGGACACATGCTGGGACGGTCGCAGACACCCTTCCCAACCACCCTCCTGTGTGTGTGTGTGTGTGTGTGTGTGTGTTTTGGTGTATGCAACAGACAGGCCTCTTTTTCTTCCCACAAGACCCTCTGGGGTATAAGATGTAGACATAGAAATACAATAAGTAAGTGTATTATTGCTCTAAAGTGTATATCTAGCGGCCAGGCTTGTAATTTCCTTGTTTAACTGAATCGGACTGCTGGCTGCACGTATGTATTTCGAACAACACAATAACTAAACTCAGATCCTCGTTCATGAATGTAACGTTAAATTTCTCTTTGACGACAGAAATCACATGTTAGAGCAACATTTATTGTACCATCATCATCATCATCATCATCATCATCATCATCATCATCATCATCATCATCA